CAACTGTGAAGGGGCGCAGTCGCTAATCCCACCAGCCCTCTGGGTGACAGGTGGTCTAACGATGTCTCTCTTTCCTCTTCTACAACCCCTTCTTCCCCTTCGGGGAGGAATTTATCACTGCCCCTTGTTTATATATATATATATATATATATACCCCCTCCCCCACCAGGTCGGCGGCCAACCCGGAACAATGCCGACGCCATGCGGGCCCGTCCCCCACCATCCCTGTCAAACAACAATACAAACCGCACTCTGCCTCCACATTTGGAGCATGCGCGGCCAACCCGATGCGCCCCCCCAACGCCTGTCAAAAAATTCGAAGTACACTTTGGGACAAAGCCTTGAGTCATGTTCGTGAGGCCCGCGAGCACTTTGTATTGTTTTGGACAAGGATGGTGGGGCGTCAGCATATCCCCTGCTGCGCGCAGGGCTACCATCCCTGAACAAAAACAATACAACATGTAGTTAGCGGCTAAATCTGGATCATGCGCGGCCATCCCGCGATCACAGTCAAGTGGTTTTTGACAGGGACGGCGGGGGTGGTGGCGCGTGGCCTGCCTTGCGCAGGCCCACCAGACACATTGATGGGCATTGGTTTTCGAGAAGGATGGCGGGGGCCGCCATGTTCCCCGATGTGTGCTGTCACGTGCGCAGGCGCACCTGACGCACTCTGCACGTGCCTCGATAGTGGCGCACCTGGCGCGGCTGGAGTGTGCGGCACACCTGGCGCACTCGGAGCACGTGGCGCATCTGGCGCGCCAGGCGTGCCTGGTACGCTCGGGCCCCAGGGGTGCCTGGCGCGCGTGGCGCCCCTGGCACGCGTGGCGAACCTCGCCCAAGCGTCGCGCACCTGGGGTCGGCCTTGGTCCCCAATAGCTGCCCATCCAAAGACGACCGCTGAACATGCTCAGGCTCGGGTGTTACTTATGTGTCGGGAGGGCGGGTGGGAGTGAGCTAGACGGCTTGCGGGCGGGTGGGTAGCTTGACCCCTCCCCCTACCCCCTCCCCTGGACCTGGACGGGGGGGTTCGCGAGGGGTTGGAGCGTACAAGATGGCCCAAGATGGCTCCAAGAGGGCCTCAGAAAGCCCAAGATGGTCTCCAACCTCGCTCAACATAGCCCAGCATGGCTCAAGATAGCTAACAGCATGCCTCCAGGAGGCCCCAAGAAGGCCACAAGACGGATCCGAATGCTTTTGGCGACCCAGCAGGACCTCCCCGCAAAACCTAAAGGACACCAATGATGCTTGCTTTCTCGCCGTTTCGCTTCCGATGCGCTTCTGAGGCCTCAAGATGGCCCTGAGATGGCCCAAGACAGCTCTAAAAGGGCCCAACAGTCCCCCAAGACTGCCCCAAGAGCGCCCAAGATCGCCCCAAGATGGCCCCAAGAGCGCTCCAAGAGGCTATTTTGATGGCCCTGGAGGGGTGAGGGAAATTGAGGAACCACCTTCCTTTGATCGAGTGTCTCCAAGATGGCACCAGGAGGCGCTCCATAGCTCCCAAGATGGCCCCAAGAGAGCCCAAGGAGGGCCCCAAGACGGCCACATGAGGGCCCCAAGGCGCCCCAAAAGAGCCCCAAGAGGACCCCAAGACCCCCCAAAGAGCCCCAAGAGGGCCCCAAGATGCCCCAAAAGAGCTCCAAGAGGACCCCAAGATCCCCCAATACAACTCCGTAGCTCCAAGGCCTCCAATGCTCCAAGATAGCCTCCAAGATGGCTAGACACCCTCCTTCCTCTCCTCTCCTTGCACGCTCTGTTTCACTATGCGTGTCAATTCTCTCCATTTCCCGACAGCTCTCATGGGCAGGGCTCCTGAATGGGCGGGTGGGGATTCGCGAAGCCTAAACAGTTGTCAACCATGTGTACCGCGCGCAGGTATCACGCAATGACTGTTATGCTTCTTTCGGAAGAATGCTCCCTGCACATGAACTTTGAATACGCAGTTTAGGTGCGCCGTCGCAAGCTATCCGTTCTCGATCAGACGAGGCATGCGCACTGAGGAGTCGCAGACGTCACACCAAAGACGTGCCAAGCAGTGGAGCCGACAGCAGCTGCACGCAGCAGATGTTGCCCACCCACCCACACACACACACACACACACACACGCACACGTCCCGAACCAGCACTCTGGCCCATCCCTGCAGGGGTCCTGGGACACACAAATAAATAAACACAAATAACAGGATTCTCCATATTTCCCCATATGTTCTGCGTTTCTCTCTTCCCCCCCACTTCCCATATTTTCCAATATTTTCCTGGGGAATCGACGATTCATTGTGTCTAGTGCTTTTTCCCCCCAGAGGGAGGGCCCCATGAAGCCGAACGCGGCAAGGAACCTTCAGGACCCGCTGCCTTCAGGACCCGTGTTCTCCACGCCGGGCGAGAAGGAACAAGGGGGATCCGCAGGAGGATCGATTCACTTCGGTCTGCCCTGGCCTGTCAGGACAGGATGAACGGGAAAGAGAGGGGAAGCCAGAGGACGGAGGAGGTGAAATGCGGCTACGGTCGGGCTTGATTGGACCAGACGCGCGAGAGGACACAAGACCTTTCCAAGGACCACATTGCCACAGGAATGTAGGAGGCATGGGTCGCGAGACATAGGACACAAAGGTACCCTTGATTTGGGAGGGTCGATCTACTAATCCGGGCCGACTGTGCTGCTTCCACTGGCGTGCGCCGAACCATTGCTCGCCTGCCGGTGGGGCAAGCAAACGATGAGTTGCGTGCATACCATGGGCAACGCCGGGTGCAGAAGCAGTGCACACGCTGTTATGCCGCCAAGCATATGTAATTAGGTCGGGCGTGTCCTCCTGCTACAGGCGGATTTGGGGCGGAAAATTAAGAAATTGTCAAAAAATACTTAAAATAGCAAAACAAATACTCAAAAAATCGTCCCCTGAGTATTTTTATTTGTCTTGACTATTTCTCCTGTAGAAGGACGCGCCCGATTGAAGCCTCGACCGCCGAAACTGGCATGAGTTAGGCGGCGGGCCGCCAACGCCCCAGGGACGCCAGGGTACTCTTGACCACTGAAGACCGCGAAAGGGACGGACCGCCGAGGCAAGAACGTAAAGGGACCCGAAAAAACCTCGTGAGTCCTTCTAATGGACTTCGACTGTAACCGGTCCAGGATGCGAGGAAGAATCAGCCACGCGCAAAGGGGGTGGGGGGGAGAGAGGAGGGTTTCTTAGAAGCACCCCTGCTTCTTAGAAGGCACGGGCCTTATCCATAGATGTGATGCCGGCGCCTTCTAAGAAGCAGCCTCCTTCTAAGAAGCCCTCCCCCCTGCCTCCCCCTTTAAGCGTCGCCAAAAGAAAAGGCCAAGAATACATCGGCGCTCCGAAAATTGATTCCGATTTAAAGAGGCACGGAGCCGCGCGAATGCAGCGCAAACGCTATGATCGAAAGGCGCGGCAATGCATGCCCCCTGGACAGGCGAGAGCAGCCGCGCCCCCGTGCGAACCCCGATCCCGCGCGGGGCGCGTTCCCGTTGACAGTGGCTCACCCGGGAAGCCGTTTCTTGTGCAGGAAATCCTGAGCGGCCTGCCCATCGGCGGCTCCTTCGGACGAGGCCCGGAACCACCGAGAAACCGTTTTTGATAGGAAATTCGAAGCGGTTTGCACATGTTCGGTTTCTTCGGACTGGGCCCGAAGACCTCGAGAACTCTGTTGTTGCAAAGAATCCTAGGCGGTTTGCACATTTTCGGGTCGTTCGAACAAGACCCGAATTTTTTGTTGGCACAAGTCCTATGGGATTTGGCCGCGTTAAGGTCGGCCGGAAAACTTGTCGGGTCGTCGCATGACCGAACCCGAAAGTTTTTGTTCGAAGAAGTCCTATGCCGTTTGCTCATTTTCGGGTCAGTACACCGCTTTGGATTTAAAACTTAAACTGGGAAGGGGAACCCGATCCCGCGACCCCAGGCGGGGGTTTGGCTTTGTTTTTGCATTGTGCTGAGCGCCTTCGGCCAAACGGGGTGCTGGGTTGCCCCATCCGCCCTCGGGCCCCGCGAGTCTGATCCTGCGCGCGCCACCCTAGATGGTTGCGGCGAGCACGGTTATGAAATTGGGGAAACTTTCGGATCGGCGCACTAGGGAGATTGGAGCTCCGGGAGATCGGCCCGCGACTGGACTGAAGATGACATGCAAATGTGGTGGGCTGTCAGACTTCGCGCAACAGCCCGCACAGCGGTGGCTGTTCTCGCGGCCCTGGCTTCTGGAGTATGCCCCCCGTCACTGTGGCAGAGGACGTGGAGGGGCTGAAGGAGGGGGAGAAGAGGGGGAGGCAGAGGGGGAGGAAAGATCTTCCAAGATAATCCAAGAGGGTCTTCCAGGGCTCCGTGAGATCAACGGTGCCTTAACCAGCTTCAAACCCTCGTCCGCAGCACAAACGACATGGCCAGGCTAGCACAAACTTGTTAAAGCTCCAGACCCCCGTCCAGAGGTCGGCCTGTCAGGGCCTCTGCCCTGCCAGAGCCGATGGAGTCTGCCACTTGTCGTGCGGGGGTCAGCAGGCCTTCGCGCATTTACGAGTTGGACGAGGGGGGGGAGGGAGGGAAGGAGGCGAGGCGCGCGAGGCGATCCGCATCAGGGGGCGGTCGTCCAACCTCAGCTGTGAGACCAAAAAAGGCTCCCCTGCGTGAGCAGTAATTGGGGATCCCAAGACCGTGCGGTGACAGACCGTGCGGTGACCTCGGAACCCCAAGAGACCTCACCGCACGGTCCGTCACCACACGGTCTTGGGACCGTGGAGGCTCCAGTCGCCCGAGACATCCTCGGAGAACGACCCAAGTCCCAAAACCGCGTGGTGACCCCGAATCCCCACCGACTCACCACACGGTGTGGTCACCACCCCGTTTGGGGGCCCACGAAGTAGGCAGCCAGGGCCCGACGGCCCTTCGACATCGCACCGAAGCCACTGCCAGGGCCTGCGCAGTCCACCGGTTACCAGCGGCGGCCGATGCGGAGGGCAGGGGCGCAGTCGATCTTGGGGCACCCGCGGCCGCCTGCGAGTGCTGCTGCTGGGCGTGCGCGTACGCCTGCTGCGCGTGCCGCGCCTGCCGCGCCTGCCGCGCCGGCCGCGAGGGGGGGGGAACACGGGCACGGGAAGCACGACGGCACACCAGCGCTCCGGATGCGCGCGTCCGACCCAAACCGATCGCACAGCATCTCTGGGGAAACCGAAAGGTGCCGACACCGCTGCTCCCCGGACCTCTCCCGGGGTGCGTTCTGACCAGGACTTCGGGGCGAATCCAGCGGTGGCGACGAGGGCCGCCCAGGAGGCCCAAAAAGGGGAACACGGGCGAAGGCTAGAGGTGTGGGTACCTCTTCCTCCTCTGCACACAGATCGTACAACATCGTGTAATACCGTGTGGCTTCCTGGGCGGTGTGTGGCCAGGAGGCGCCCGCCACGGAGCTTCCACTGTCCAAGATCTCCGAGCGTGCGTGTCCCTGCGCGGCCGACGCACATCCATGGTAGCGGTGGGTGCTTGGGCGGTGCCGAAGGCAAACTCCCGCCGTGCACCTGGGGGGGGGCCACGAGGAGCCTCGGGAGAGGAAACGGAGCACCTTCTTGGAGCACCTTCTTGGAGCACCTTCTTGGACCTCAGCTCAGGGCTGGACCTGCGCGCTGTGTTTCGTGTTGTGTTCGTGGTGTTGTTCGCTTTGCTCTGCCCGTTCTCCTGCACCTCCCTGCCAAGACGAGAAGCAGAGTACGGCCGAAATCCAGCAGAACAGCGTTTGGTTCCGGCCCAGCCTCAGCTCCGCACATTGACACAAGGGGCGTCAGGGGAAGACCGACGGACGCATGTCGGGGACCTCGTGGAGGGGACGACGACGGGGACCACGACCAAGACTGAACGCAGAAACATCGTGCCGATCTTGGTCACCATCCACACTCTTGAGCACCAACTCGCGGATCATCCTCGGGAATCGGCGACGGCTGGCATGGACCATGACCGAGATCGGCCTCGAGCCACTTTCACAACCGACGTGGACCGTGCCCCTGCTGGGCAACGATAGGGGGAGAATCGCAAGAGGGGGGGGACACATCGACCTGAAATCGGCGATATACATCGCCGACAGATCCGCGATAGGCCCATGATAGTGAATCCGCAATATCGGCAATCCATTGGCGATTGGGGGTCGATGCATCCCCCCTCTGATGGGCCTGTTTTCCACCACCACCACCACCACCACCACCACCATAAATTGGAGGGGGAGGGGGCCCTTCTCCTCCGCCTCCTCCCCCTCCTCCTCCTCCTCTTCGTCCTCCTCCTCCTCCTCCTCCTCCTCCTCTTCTTCGTCCTCCTCCTCCTCCTCCTCCTCCTCCTCCTCCTCCTCCTCCTCCTCCTCCTCCTCCCTCCTCCTCCTCCTCCCCCCCCAACGTATGGTGGTGGTGGAAAACAGGCCCATCACCCTGTGCCCCTCCTGCCCCCGCCCCCCCGTCGCTGCCCGCCGAGGCCCCAAAAAAGCTCCCCGGCTGCAGCCCCGGGACCTCCAGGGAGGCGCCGCGGCCAGGGCACCGCGCCGTGGACGCCTCGGCCAAGACCCCCCCCCCGGGGCCTCCGCGGGAGGAGGCCCGCCGCGCGGGGCCCGCCGCGGGCCCCGCTGCGCCCCCCCCCCCCCCCGGGGGGCACGCGAGAGCGAGGCGGGGACTTGTGCACCTCGCTCGCCCCCCGCCTAGGAGGCTTTGGCGTGCTTGGCGCAGTCACTGTCGTCGAGGCAAGCTCCCGCCTCGACGCGCACAGCACTGCGGCCGCACGGCACGGTCGAGAGCGAGGCCGAGCTCACCACCTCTGCGGCGAACTCGGGCCCCTCTCGCCATCATGCTGGGGACTGATCCATGTCCGCCGCCTGGGAACCGACGTCCTGGTGCCCCAGCGGGCGGCGGATAGGGATGCACCTCGGGCCCCAGGGGGCCCGAGTTTGTCCCTAGTCCACAGCCTGCCGAGGTCCCCGGACACTGACCCTCCAGGCGGTGGTCATGCATGAATTCCCGCCTCGGAGAGAGGGCGGCCCAGGATGGGAAACTGGTGCGGGCCTTGGATGCCCACGCCGCGAAAAATATACAGTACTCGGCCTGACCTGAGGAACCATAAATAAGGAACGAAGCCCCCTTTTTCCAAGGAAGTCTAGGAAGTCCGAAGGAACACCAGGGGGGCTCGCCGCCAAAAAGGTAGCAGAACACATGCAAACCAAAGGAACGACCGAGCCCCTTTTGAAAAGTGAGTCTTCCTTAGTCAAGCACGGGGTCGCGACCCGCGGGCCCGTCCCGCGCAGCCGTAAATATGAACATGTTTCTCGCCCGCGGCCCAGCCCGTGGAAGGAGGGAAGCCGACCCCGAAGCACAACACATCGGATCGATGGGTCCCGCACGCAGACAGCGGCACACACCATCGGATCGACCGCATCGCAGACGACTCTGCCTACATTCAACCCGTACAAAGAGGATGCGCGGTGAGGATGCAAGGGCCTTGGACGCCCATGCCGAGGCTCTTCGAGCGGGGCTGGCCTTCGAAAGAGGTTGAGGATGGGCCGAAGATGACCGAAGAGGCAAGGAAGCAAGGGTACCCTTGGGAAGTCGTTCATCCTTACTGTGCGGGTTGACTGTAACTACCCGGCCGTGTGGAAGCCCACAGGTACCAATACCGCTACTCCACGGCCCTCTCCTGGGGTGCGTTCTGACCAGAATTTCGGGGCGAATCCAGCGATGGCGACGAGGGCCTCCCAGGGGGCCGAAAAAGGGGAAAGTGAGAGAAGGGTAGCGGTATGGGTACTTTTCTTGCTCTGAGGCCACAGCGTGGACCAGTGGAGACCCGTAGGGGCCTCCGTGCTGCTTTTGGAAGATCTCGCCGAGACGGCGATGCTGGAAGGGGCAACCCGACCACCAGAGGCCGCTCCTCAAACCCAGGGATGACCTCCGAAGACCGTCGGAATTTCCTCATTCGCCTCCTCTCCCTCCCTCCCTCCACTGGCTGCCCAAACCTCCGCCGTCGTGACCAGCTCTTCGTCGCGGGTAGTCTTTGGCTCACCTCCTCCTCCTTGGAAGTCTGCAGAGGTCTCTGGAGATTTACGCGTCCCCGAAAGTCCCCAGATAGGTTCCAAAGGCCTCTGGAAACCTCCGAAGGAGTTCCCCGCCCCAGAACAAAACGAAAACAAACAACGAATTATCCCAGTGCGACCCTACCTAGGAGTTGGAACCCCTAGGAAAGCAGCATTAGTAGTAACAGTAACGCTAAGCTAAAGCTAAGCTAAAGCTAAGCTAAAGCTAAGCCACAGCTAAGCTAAAGTTAAGCTAAAGCTAAGCTAAAGCTAAGCTAAAGCTAAGCTAAAGCTAAAGCTAAAGCTAAGCTAAGCTAAGCTAAAGCTAAGCTAAAGCTAAGCTAAAGCTAAGCTAAAAGCTAAAGCTAAAAGCTAAGCTAAGCTAAAGCTAAGCTAAAGCTAAGCTAAAGCTAAGCTAAAGCTAAGCTAAGCTAAGCTAAAGCTAAGCTAGCTAAGCTAAAAGCTAAAGCTAAGCTAAAGCTAAGCTACAGCTAAGCTAAAGCTAAGCTAAAGCTAAGCTAAAGCTAAAGCTAAAGCTAAAGCTCCCAGGGGACTGGGGGGAACCGCGGGGCGGGGACTGGGGGAACCGCCCGGGGCGCTTTGCACTGCCCGGCCCCTTTAAGCTAAGAGAGCAAGAACCCTTCTAGGCAGAGCATAGGTAGGGAACAAGGGTGTGGGGGGGAGGGGGAACTCGGGTCATGATGAGACTGTGGGCCATGGCGATGGCAAAGATTGTAGGCGCCCGACATGGGTGCGGAAAACATGGGTACGATACGATGCCCAACAGCAGCACATGCTGCCCGTGACCTACGGCGGCCGCTGTTGGACAGGCGAGCTGTTGCCTCACATGGCCAGCGACCGCGGCGACACCGACAGCGAGCCCTGCTCAGCATGGACAGGACCTGTTATTGGTCTTTGCCCCACTTCTTTTTCTACCCACTCCGATCGCACCGTAGGGGGTACAAAAAAAGAGGGTGGCCCAAGCACCGCCCACCATTCCGGCCCGCCTGCTGCGCCTGCTGCGCCTGCTGCGCCTGCTGCGCGTGCGCGGCGACCGGCTCGACGCCGCGCCCCCCGTGCGCGTGGTGGCCTCCGGCGACGCGTCGCGGCGAGGAGGGGCGGAGTCGGACGCAGGTCTGGAGGCGAGGTCGGCCTCAGCGGAGAGGGTGGGCTTGTTATCCTCTACCACCACCACCACCATCAGTAGGAGGGGAGGGGGTCCTCCCCCTCTTCCTCCTCTTCTTCCTCATCCTCCACCTCCTTCCCCCTCCAACTCATGGTGGTGGTGGTGGAAAACAGGCCCATCGTGGAGAGGGTGCTCCCCGAGAGCTCGCAGCAGCGCGCAGAGAACAGCACTGCAGTGCGGTGCCCACGGCACGGCAGGCGAAGAGAGGCACGCGGCACAGGAAACCTGGTGCTGACGCTTCCGCACGAACCGCGGGAGCGAGGAGGGGGAGCAGGGAGGGAGGGAGGGAGGCAAAAAGAGGGAAAGGCGCTTGGGTGACGGGTCCCACGTCAGACTAACAACCTCCGTATTGGGCAGCGTTTATCCGGCCCCTGTCACCTACGGCGTGGCCTGGGCCCCACTGGCCGATGTGCCCCCCTAGATGGGGATGTGGGCCGTTTCTCACGGGTTTCGAGGGGTACATCCACAACTGGGGGTGGTGAGATGTTGGGTCTGGATGGGGATGGGGATGGGGATAGGGGTCGGTGAACCGATGCTGATATATATGCCCGTGCACGTGATATGGATGCTTGGGGTGCAGGCGCGGATGCCTCGGACCTCAGCTCAGCGGATCCAGGCTGCGACCGCTGCCCGCGCCTGGAGCCGCCTCGGCGGGGAGGAAACCCCCTCCCCGGACATATCCGGCCGCTCCAGACTGTTCGATGCGGGGGCCCTGGAGGTCTCGACCACTTCCCCATGGGCAATTGTTTTTTCGTCCTGACTCGTGGTTTCACGGTCCCAGGGCCCAGCGAGGGCCCCAGGAGTCACAGGGGGGGGCAAGGGATGAGGGGGGGAGGAGGGAGGGAGGGAGGAGGGAGGAGGGAGGGAGGGAGGGAGGGAGGGAGGGAGGGAGGGAGGGAGGGAGGGAGGGAGGGAGGGAGGGAGGGAGGGAGGGAGGGAGGGAGGGAGGAGGAGGAGGAGGAGGAGGAGGAGGAGGAGGAGGAGGAGGAGGAGAAAAACGGGGGAGGGCAAAGAGAGCCCCCTCAAGAGGCCTTCAAGAGGCCCCCGAAAAGCAACCCAGACAATTCAAGTAGGCATAGGTCTCCATGGCAAGGTGGCGGGATTCGCCCGAGGCCACTAGATCCGCCGCCCCCTGTTGGCTTGCCACAAGAGTGCACGGCGCGCTGCATCTCTGAGTGGTGTCCACTCTTTCCCACTGGGGTCTCCGCCCAAGCCCAAGCCGCCAGCCACCCAGAACGCGAATCCCCCGTCGGTTTTCCCGCGCAGCATGGCCCCCAAGATGGCTTCAAGATGGCCTCCAAGACGTTTCGGATGGCCTCCAAGACGGCAACAGGACACCTCGAAGACGGCCAGAATGGCCAAAAGAGAGGCCAAGATGGCCCCAAGATGCCTCCCAAACCTAAGGGTGCCCCAGGAGGGCTCCAGTAGGACATCCAGGATCCCAAAAATATTGATTGCACATTGGTTGTTCAATGAGTTGTGTTTTTTCGGGTTTCCGACGCCTTTTCTTTCCGATGCCTGCGATCAAGCATTGGTTTTACTGTCGCGCGTTCTGGCTCCCGACGTTCCAAAGCGGCTTCCTTGGCCGCCAAAATCACCCCAAAACGGCCCAAGAGGCTCCCAAGAGGGCCGCAAGACGGCCCAAGAGGGCTCCAGGACGGCCCAAGAGGCCCCCTCCTCTGTTCCTTCCCCCGCGCTGCCTCTGACTACCTACCAGACCACCCCAACCCAACCCGAAGACCCGAATTTGACCCGAATTTCGGGTTGGGGGGGGTACGGGTTCCATGTGTTTGTTCAACGTTCCCCGACCCCCCCCCCCACACTGGAAATGGAGGGAAATTGAGGCCGTCGGGTTGGGTTGGGGTGGTTTGGTGGGTGGTGAGCCTCCCGCCCCCCCCCCCCTCCTCCGCTCACCCCCCGGCACCCGGCGGCACGCCTCTGTCCTCCGCGGGCTGCTCCTCCACGGGCTCGCGGAGCCAGGCCCTGCCGGCACGGCTCCCCCCTTCGCCATCGGGTGGCGGCGCGCACGGCGACGTCCAACGACGTCGGCGCCCTGGGGCTGCTTCGGGATGCGTCTCTCGGGGCTCTCGTCGCCACGGCTGGGCGCGGCTCGGAGACCCGCCTGGAGAAATCCTCGGGATGGGTGGTGACGTAGAAAGCCTGCCCCCACCAGCCACCGACTCTCCTGAATCGATGGGAGGCGGGAGCAGGGCTCAGATTTCGCCCAGTGTTCGACGACCTCCGAGCCCCCACCCCCGCCGCCCATCGACTCGCCCGAATCGTTGATCGGCGAGGGTAGGGTTCGGATTCCGCCGCCGATTGCTGGGCCCCCCGTAAGAGCCCACCGAGTTGCCCGAATCGTTGATCGGCGAGGGCTGGGTTCGAATTCCGCCGCCGATGGCAGGGCCCCGACAAGAAAAACTGCAGTCCAGAGGGGGGAGGCCCGCGCGCGCGGCTTCTGTGCATAACTCGGGCCTCTCCCTCTACAGGAGGAATATTCAAAGATAAACAAAACATTGTCTGGGGACGATGTCTTGCATGTGCTCGACCATTTGGGCAAATGTTGGAATATTTTTAGTACTTTATTCTGCGCTTCCCTCGCAGCGCCCAGGCACCGGCGAGGACCGCCCCCCGTCGTCGGCGCTGGTCGCCGCCACCGATCGCCGCCGCCCGCCGCGGCAGCGCCCGTCGACGCCGCACGCCGTCCAACGAAACGCGGAGGAGGAGGAGGAGGAGGAGGAGGAGCATAAACTGCTGGAGGTCCACGCGGCTACCTCGGATCTGCGCGGAGCCCCCCCCCCCCTGCGCGCGGAGGCGCCGCCAGGGGGCGGCGGCGGAAGCGCCCCTGCTGTCCCACCCCGGTGCCCCTCCGTAGGTGCGTGACGATCTGGATGAAGGTGGGCCGGCGCTCGGCGTCGCCGCAGGTGCAGTGCAGCGCGAGCGTGCCCAGTCTCTCCACCATGCTGGTGGGCCACTGGCCGCGCCTGGGAGCGACGGGCCAGGAGGGGGCGCGGGGGGGCAGGAGGAGGGAGGGCGGGCGGATCAGGGAGGAGGACGGAGGGAGCAGGAGGACGGAGCAGGAGAACAAGGGAGGGAGGAGGAGGGAGGACGGAGGCGAGGGCCGAGGCGGACTCCGGGGTGACGAGTCTACGGCGACACATGCGAGTTGAAGCTATCAGACACCTGGGTGGCTGTTAGACCGTGGTGTCAAGAGCGGGCGAATCCCTTGGCCCTGCAGGTGGGCGACACGCGAGCCACCCTCGCTCCCACCGACGTGGAGGAGGGAGAGACCTCATGGAATCTCCAGGGATGCTGCACATGCCGGAGAACCGGATTCGAAGGCCCATACAAGACTGCCAAAGCTCCCAATGCACTGCAGTACCTCCCGCAACTTCCAGGTATCCGCGGCATCTGGTCCGAGATTGAGAGAGGCCCTGGTGCCCGCACATGAGTCACAGACGTGAGCAGCATTTCGAAGAACGCCTTGCACCAAAGCAGACTCCGAAGGGGTGCCTCGGTCAGGAGGCGTAATTCCGTAGCACCCCGCAATTGCGGAAAAGAGTGAGGGGGCGACGGGTACGTCGGCAGCCTGCGAGGCTCTCAACAAGCCCGCCGCAGGCGCAGAATTTTTCAAGCTATAAATCGAGCCCGCCGCAGGCGCCGATTTTTTTGTTAAAACAATGTGGACGGGTCACGGGTTGGGTCGCAAGTGGGTCGACGATGGGTCGCGGGTGGGTCGCCGGCCGGGTCGCGGGTGGATCGCGGCTGGGTCGCGGGCGGGTCGCGGGTGGGTCGCGGGTGGGTCGCGGGGTGGGTCGCGGGTGGGTCGCGGGTGGGTCGCGGGGTGGGTCGCGGGAGGGTCACGGGGTGGGTCGCGGGTGGGTCGCGGGTGGGACGACGACAACAAACAACAACAACAACAACAACAACAACAACAACAACAGCAGCAGCAGCAGCAGCAGCAGCAGCAGCAGCAGCAGCAACAACAACAACAACAACAACAACAACAACAACAATCATCTTAAGACTGATCGCTCTTATATGCGCGCGCGTCACTCAATATGTAAATCCCAAACCCTCGATACCCACCCTCTTCGTCTTCGGTCATACCCCTTTGGGGGTATATCTTTTTTACTCGCCACGTGTAGTTGGCGCAGCCCCTAAAACAGGAAGAGCAGGGGGAAGGAGGAAGGGAGAGCGAGGACGAAAAAGAGTGGGGGGAGGGAGGGAGGAGGGAAGGGGCAAGGGGGGGAGGATGGATGGAGGACGAAAGAGGTTAGCAGGAGGGGAGGGGGGCAAACGAGGAGGTAAACAAACGGACGAACCAGACAGACGGGTCGAGCGGCGGACTCTGAGGGGCGGGTCGGGCTGGCGGGGCGGGCGGACGCCAACGGACGGGTCGGGCGGCGGACCCTCGCTGGCGGGTCGGGCGGGCGGTGGCTTAAAGCGGGCGGGCGAGATGCCAAGAGAGCGAACCCCGAGCATCCAAGAGCTCCTAGATCCAAGCTCTCACCTAAAGTAAGTGATGGAAGAGATGCAGCAACATTTAGGAGAAACATGATCTCTTAAACGTGAGGCACGCGTGTAGCCTATGCGCAATGCATGGTCGCGAGGTGGTGCATGAGCATATCTTGAGACATATGTTCGCATACGACTCTTGCCAGCGTGGGCCCGCGGTGGCCGCGCGGTTCGCCCAGGGCTATAGCCACGGGTTGCGCCCATGTGCGGTGGCCGCGTATGCGCGGCGGCCATCGTGTGCATGCGTCGAGGGCGATGGCCCAGGTTGCACCCCATGGGTCGCGCTAAGCGCGCGCTATGCATCGAACCACGTGAGTTTTATTCCACAAACAGCGCTTGAGTGCAATTCGCCAAGGTATCGCGGCGTTGGCCGCCGTGGTGCCATCGTGCCCCCCCCCCCCCGCGCGGGCGGGTTGGCCGAAGTTTCGCAGCGTTGGCAATTAATCGTTCGTGCGCCCCCCCCCCCCCGTACGTGTTGATTGGCCGAGATGTCGCCACATTGTTTTACATGGTTCGACCTAATGTGAACCAGGTTGAACGTCTTGTATCCAACGCATGTAACACGCAGTTGAACATCAAATGGTGGCGCGATGGTTGCTAGCTCTGGTGTTCATGCAATTGTTGGCCTCTGGTACTTTAAGCAATGGGTGGGATATCCATCGAAGGTCGTCGCGCTTGCCAGTATGATTATTCTGGTATTTCAGACACGCAATGGGGCGGCACCTCCGCTAACCCACCAACACCGAATGCGCTTCGTGGGCGCCCCCCGTCTGGGGTGGTGGTGGTAGTGTCGGTGGCGGCGGTGGTGGTCGCAGTAATGGTGGTTGTGGTTATGGTGGTGGCGGTGGTGGTGGTGGAGGTGGCGATGGTGGTGGCGGTGGCGGTGGTGGTGGTGGCGGTGGTGGTGGCGGTGGTGAAGTGTGCGTGGTGGGGGTAGGTGGGTGGTGCGTGGTGAGTGGTGAGTGGTGGGTGCGTGGTGGTGGTGGCGGTGGTGTTGGTGGTGGTGGCGTTGGGTAGAGGTGGTGGTGGCGGAGGCGGTGGCGGCATTGGCCATTGCTGCGCCATCGCCCCTCTATAGGCGTGTAGACGTCGGTGCGCCACCTTGTTCGATTGCGGACCGTGCGTCTTCTCGCAAACGAAACATCAACCTCCCTCGCCCTCGTCCTCTCGCGCATACGACCGTGCGCGGTGAATCGGTGGCCCCCATGGTCATCATCATCATCATCATCATCATCATCATCATCATCATCATCATTATCATCATCATCATCGTCATCATCATCATCATCACCATCATCAGCATCATCATCCTCATCATCATCCTCATCATCATCATCATCATCATCATCATCATTACCATCATCATCAGCATCATCATCATCATCATTATCATCATCTGCAGACTCCCCTTTGAGGCGTATTTATATTGCCTCTTCTCAAAAACGGCGGCTCAAACTCCCTCGGCTCAAACTTGAAACTGCTGTTATGAGGCTCGAGCTGAGGCTCAAACTCAACCTGATCTTGGACTATATTCAGCGACTGCCTGGCGCTGTCGGGCCATAATTTGGGGGAGAGGTCCGATATGCCATTTTGGTTTTTTCGAGGGCCACTCTTGGGGCTCTTTGGGAACTTGGCCGTCTTGGGGGCCTCTTGGGCGTTTCGGGGCCCTCGTGGATCGTCTTGGGGCACTCTAGTGGGGGCGGGGGCCTTTGGGGCCGATATTGGGGGGCCTTCGGAGCAGAAGGTTTGAGAGGAGAAGCAGAAGCAGCAGGGGGAGAAGGCGGGTTCGTTGTGGAGCCTCAAGTGCTGTCGCCACGTGATGGCGCGAAGCGCAATGAATAAGCAGCTGTTTTTTTTCATGTTTTTCTGTTCAGCCAAAATGAAACAACAAGTACTTGTATATTGCAGTTTCGCCGAGCGTGCTCGGGTGGCAGCCCCTTGCAACCTCAATAATCTGGCCCACTAGATCTTCGTCCGAATACGTCCAAAAATATTTTGGATTCATTATTGCACATTGAAACTCGCATAGGTGAAACCACAAGTGAAACTTTGGAACGAATTTCCATATCTTCTCGTGCCTGCTAGCAGACTCAACGCTCAACGCGTTGTACAACACAACAAGCGTCTTCCCTATGTACTTCAACTCCCGTAGAGCACTAGGGGGAAAGAACATGTCGTGGTCCTTCAGGATGAGATAAAAACGATCCAGCAGCATGGCCACGGCGAGCCTCTGTTTCGCATGTTCCGAACCGTCGTCGAACTCTCTGGCCAAGTGGACGGCGTAGCCAGACATGTGCCTTGTATCAGCTGCTTTGCCTTTGAACTTCGTGTAGCCAGACGAAGATCTCAGTCGTGCGAGTGTGAGTGGCCCCGTCAACTTGTGAAAACTTGTGCCTTGCTGACGCTGCCAAGCCTTGTGGTGATCTGCCAGGGCCGAAACCTGCTGCGCTTGATTGCAGCCCATACGTTGCATGCATTCCCACATTATCGAACCCAGTATGTGTGAGCAAACGCCCTGGTCGACGCAGTGCAGCACGTCGACCATACAGAACTCTAATCGAAACCCGACAACGTAGCGAAGAAGGGGCGGGACCTGTTTTCCTCTTGCTGCCAGCTCGATCGCATAGCTCTCCGTAGTCCTCACCGTGCCACGCCACCCAGCAGTATCTGTGGCATCGGTGTAACGCAACTCAGGATTAACAATGCTAGCCTTGCACATCCAACAATTGTTGTCATTTGCATTCTGCCGTGGGAATGAAAGAATCTCACAATAAAAGTCCCAGTCGCCCCTCAATTGGAGCAAGCATCCGCTATAGTTATCTGCGGAAGGCAAGCCATCTAGCATCTTGTTCATCGATTCTGCAAAGATCCGCCATAACATGTCCCAGGTCTCATCATTCAACTGCGATTTTTTATAACAGCGAAAATCATTTTTTTGGATCTTGTGTCCCCTAAACCAAGTATTGAATTCCATGATATGACATATACAGAATCTGTATTGGAATATTCGCCTCCATCACCATGCAAACCCAATGGTACCGTTTTCTTCAGAAGGCGCCGTGGGCGATCTCGCAGCACTGGGTGCTCTGCTGCAAGTTTCCTGCCCGTCGCCGAGTCCCAAAACTCGCCGCAGTCGCATGATCCACCAAGAATTGACTTTGCAAATTCACTTGGCCGTTCTTTCAGAAATTGTTCGAAGAGAAGGTGTGGCATCACTATGGGGAACATCTTTTTCCCTGTTTCCAAAGGCATACGTATCCAAGTAATGGCTGGCGCTCCTATCGGGGTCCCGATCGCCGCGCACAGGTCTCGAAACATGTTCCCAGGCTGATGGCCCGCAGCTCCGATTCTGGCAAAGGCGTCGCAACCCGACGCCCCTTGATCCATAGCAGAGTGTGCGATATCCTGAACGGCTGCTGAGCTCAGCTGTCCTTTGGCCCATCTCATTTTGAGCATCCTGTTCAAC